AGATAGATAGATAGATAGATAGATAGATAGATAGATAGATAGATAGACGGATGATAGACAGACAGCAATAGTGCTTAGACTTATATCCCGCTTCACCAGTGCTTGCCAGCCCCCTCTAAGTGATTTACAGAGTCAGCCTCTTGCCCCCAACAATCTGGGTCCTCACTTTACTGACCCCGGAAGGATGGAAGGCTGTTTATTTGCCCTAGCTACAGTAACAACCAACTGGCAAATTAACTTCAGATCTGAGATTGTATCTAAGTCTGCTTTGCTTTGCTTTGCTTTTTTTTTTCACCAACACAACTTTGAGTTAAAAACAACAACAGCCAATACAGTAATTTAGAAAGCAACAGGTAAGTTGCTTTAATGCTGCAGCTCCACTTTTTAGAAGCTTCAGTCTTGTCGAACCAGGAAGTCTGCCCATTCTGCATTTTTTTGTTTTTTGTTTTAGCAAAGCCAGCCGTCTGGAGTTGATTCGGTTACTGTGTGCATAGCAAAACACAAAGCAAATTTCTTATCTCCCACTTATCTCTGGGTGGTGCCCATTTCTTGGCTGGTGGAGTGAGAGGAGAAGAACGATCAGAATCCAGGCTTGCGATAAGCTTGAGGCCAACTCTTAGAACATACAATTAATGGAAGGGACGGCACAGATCTTCTAGTCCACAGGACCCCAACACTCAGGCTGAGCTCTGGCATTGGGGCACAGCATGCCAGAAACTGGGCCACGTAAACAAGCTAAGCCCCATCCACGGGGTGCAGGCAGCCCACGAAACCATGCCCCTCTGGGTCCGTGGAAAGACCTCTCTCCATGGAATAGGTAGAAGTACAGATTAACCGAGTTGGGAAGGGACCTTGTAGGTCATCTAGTCCGACCCTCTCCAGCCAAGCAGGAGACCCTACCCCATTTCTGACTGATGGCAGTCCAGTCTCTTCTTGAAAAGCCTCCAAGGATGACGCTCCCACAATTTCCAAAGGCAATTTCTGTTCCGTTCGTTGATTGCTCTCACTGTCAGGAAATGCCTCTCCTTGGTCAGTTTCCATCCATTGTTCCTTATTTGGCCTTCAAAGGTGCCTTAGAAAATAGCTTGACCCCTTCCTCCTCCTCTCTGGGGCAGCCCCTCAAATGTTGAAAGACTACTATCATGTCTCCCCTGGTCCTTCTCTTCCCTAGACTAGCCAGGCCCAGTTCCTGCAACCGTTCATCGTATGTTTTAGCCTCCAGTCCCCTCATCATCCTGGTTGCTCTTCTCTGCACTCATCCTTGCATCTCAGCATCTTTTTTTATAGTGCGGTGACCAAAACTGGGTACAATACTCTAGGTGTGACCCCCTCCTCTCTGGGGCAGCCCCTCCAATCTTGGAAGATGCTCTCCTGTCTCCCCTGGTCCTTCCCTTCTCTGACAAGATTTGGGGGCTGCTGTTCTAGTCGAACCTTGAGCAGGAGACATTATACCATTCCAGACCCTAATGGTTGTCCAAGCTCTTCTTGAAATCCTCCAGTTGATGGAGCAGCGACAACTTCTGAAGACAAGTGAGTCCATTGGTTGATTGCTCTCACCATTAAGACATTTTCTCCTTAGTTCTAGGTTGCCTCTCTCCTTGGTCCGTTTCCATCCATTATTCCTTGTCTGGCCTTCAGGAAAACAGCTTGACCCCCTTCCTCCTCTCTCTGGGGCAGCCCCTCAGATATTGGGAGACTGCTATCCTGTCTCCCCTAGTCCTTCTTTTCACTAAACTAAAGGTAAAGGTTCCCCTCGCGCACACGTGCTTAGTCGTTCCCGGCTCTAGGGGGCAGTGCTCCTCTCCGTCACAAAGCCGAAGAAGAGCCAGCGCTGTCCGAAGACGTCTCCGTAGTCCTGCGGCCAGCACGACTAAACGCTTTAGAAGGCGCACGGAACGCTGATCCCTTTCCCACCAAAGGGGTCCCTATTTTCCTACTTGCATTTTTTTTGTTTTTACACGCTGTCGAGCTGCTAGGTTGGCAGAAGCTGGGAAGAGGAACGGGAACTCACTCCTCCGTGACGTGGCGCTAGGGATTCGAACTGCCAAACTGCCAACCTTTCTGATCGACAAATCGACAAATCAGCGTCTTAGCCACTGAGCCACTGCTTGTCCCTTTATTAGATTAGACATACCCAATTCCTGCAACTGTTTTTTTTTTGTATGTTTTAACCTTCATGCCCCTCCCCCCCCGCAATCCTCTTGGTTGCTCTTCTCTGTGCTCCTTCCAGAATCCCTACCTCTTTCTTTTATTGTGGTGACCGGAACGGGATGGTTTTTTGGTTGCATTTTAAGCAGGAAGGGGAATGTGCGGGTTTATTGCGGGTTGCAATCCAGGTGCATATTTGTGTTCTGAGGTAGACAAGGGTCCTCATGGGGCAGGGCAGTCAGGACAGAGGTTGGCCTTCCCTTGTGGCTACCGTGGTATCCATCTTCTGCAGCCCTCAGGGCAAAGAGTGGCTTTTATAGCCTCTTAAAAGGCAGAGTTCCGATAAGACCCGAAGATACGGTCTGAACTAAGCACGGACATATCCAGGAAGCTGAGAATGGCCTGGGGAGCCTTTGATTTTTAAGCACCATTTTGAGAACTCCTCGGCGTTATGAAAGATCAGATCTTGAAGTCCTAGATGTGGCTTAGGAGAAAAACCTTTGGGCAGAGAAAAAGGAGATGGTTTGGGTCATGTATTCAATGCCACTCTTAGCTGTGACCCTGCTGGAAGGAACGGTGGAAGGGAAGGGAATCGGGAGATGACAAAGAAGCAACAGGCACAACTGGACTGGTCGAAAGGATGAAGAACCATGCAGCCTCCACAAAGGAGAAGACTTTCAGACCCAACGGTTGTGCAAAATATAGGGGACACGTTACAGGCACCCAAGGCTTTTATTAAGGAGAACCACACATCGCAAATGGCCCTGCGTGGGAAGAGATGGGACGAAAGGAGATGCCGGAATAGAGAGTATTTTCTATTGTTGCTTCCATTCAAAATTTACAAAAAGCCCACAGCAAAATTGGGCAGCAAACAACACATTCCAGGAGATTCAGAATTACTGCCTCTAGCGAGAGTCTCTTTTCTGCAAAACTTCTCAACCAGGATTCAGAGCAGGCTAGGCTACACAAACCTCCAAACTTACACAGTTATACAAATCCGGCTGGCAAGCACGGCAGGAGAATGAGAAATTCAGCAGCCACAAATCCAGGTTGGCACCCAGCATCTGTTAAAATCCTTCAGCAGTATTTCTATCCTTAGATAGTAGGGGGGGGGATGACTGTTTGCTTTGCTAACTCAGTGCCATAATAATAACATTTGCATCATTTAAAGTCTGAACCGATTTCCAATTTGCTGTCTTAACAATCCCCCAAACCCAAACTGCAGAGCAAACTTCCCCTGGAGGAATTCAAAGATAGATGAGTGTGTCACCCAGGTAAAATAATTCACTGCAGCTCCTCAGATCCCTTCCCAGCCCTGCGTGCAATTATTATCAAATTGAAGAGTTACCAACAGGCAGCAATTTGAGGCGAGAGGGTGGCCAAGGGCCTCCCCCTGGCATAGCTTCAATAGTTTCAAACAGTTGGGGTGTTCACCCTACCTGAAACGGAGTTTCCTGGGCTGGCATTGAGACCCACCAGCAAAGCCAAGGCAGCCCACAAGCCTGGAAACAGAGAAAGAAATAATAATTGAGGGTAGGGGGGTGGGAGGAAGGTGTGGTGTGGTGGGAGAGAGAAAGGTAGGAGCTCGCCTGGAACTTACGGTGCATAGTGCGGGAGAGAAGGAGGGGGGGAGGGAGGGAGGGTCACTCTACTTCCACCAGGCAGCTGAGCAATTCCTGGACTTTTTCTGCAATAAACTCTGGTCTCCACCTTCTTCCAAAACTCCTCCTCCTCCTCAAGAGCCTTTGCATCTGCTTACTCTAGGCTGTGGGTTCAGGAGCCTGGGGGCATCTTGTGTCAATGCTGGGCAAAATACCTTTGGCAGAAGATCCAAAGGTGGAAACTCCCTGGATGCTTCGGTGAGCAGGTTGCTTTTTCACAGGATTTGACAAGAGTTGGAAGGACCTTGGAGGTCTTCTAGTCCAACCCCCTGCCAAGGCAGGAAATTCTATCCCGTTTCAGACAAATCTCGTCTTAAAAATTTCCAGTGTTGGAGCATTCGCAACTTCTGGAGGCAAGTTGTTCCACTGGTTAATTCTTCTGATTGTCAGGAAATTTCTCCTTAGTTCTCAGTTGCTTCTCTCCTGGATGAGTTTCCATCCATTGCAGTCATTTGCTTGAAAGGTCAAGGAAGTAGTTGTCAGCATTTTCTTGGGCTAAGCCTAAGCGCCTGTCAGAGTCCGGCTCTTTCTGATGTGGACCAGGTCTCATCTCACAGTCATCTATCTAAAATGTCAGTTTGGTAATTAAAAATGTTATTCAATGGGAGCAATTGTTCTTCAGCTGCTTTCCAAGGAACTATTGCTACTTCAATATTGCAGGAACCCGGCTTCAGAAAAAATTGAGAAATTGTAATTTATTCCTGTCTTGAAACGGGCTGCAACTTGTTTTGAAATGTTCACAATCCAGTAGTCTTTTATTCAAATTTGTTACAGCAATAGCACTTAGACTTTAATTTTGCAAATATGGTTCCTCTTATTGTTAACCGGTAGAACAGCTTGTCTCCAGAAGTTGTGGGCGCTTCGGGTTTAAGAAGAAACTGGACAGACAGTTGTCTGAAATGGTGTAGGTTCTCCTGCTTCAGCAGGGGGTTGGACTAGATGACCTACCAGATCCCTTCTAACTCTATCCGTTAATCTGTTAATCTATTTCCCCTTCCCAGCCTGAAATATCCTCCTTGCCTAAGGACCTCTTTCTCTTCTTCCCCTCCCTCCCACTCTCTCTTTCTTGTGGCATTCTTTCTAACCAGCAGTAAATTCCAAGGAGGAACAGTGGAAATGCGTTTTAGCAAAAGAATGATGCCGCAGGGCTTTTTTGGGGAAAAAAAAGGAGATTTCAAAGGGTTGGCATCTCTGGATAGACTCCAGAATAGCGTGCGCCAAGTGGATGGTATCCAAATCGGTTGGGACTATAGTTTCCAGCGATCCCAGCAGCTGTTAATGCTGGCACATCTGGAAAGCAGCATCGGAAGTCTGGTCCAGAACCAGTGGTGGGATTCAAATTTCTTTTAGTACCAGTTCTGTGGGCGTGGCTTGGTGGGCGTGGCAAGGGAAGGTCACTGTAAAATCGTCATTCCCTCCCCACCCCACTAACCTGCTTTCCAGCTCCATTCTCCTGTGCAGGGCAACCAAAGGAGAACCAGCCAATTACTTGGGACTCGATGGGAGGCAGAGAAGAGGTGGGGTTGGCGGGGCCAGGCGGAGGCGGCATTTGCCGGTTCTCGGAACCACTCAAAATTTCTGCTACCGGTTCTCCAGACCTGGTCAGAACCGGCTGAATACCACCTCTGTCCAGAACCATTGCTTTAAACATGGTGGATGGACTGTAAAAGATGGTTGGTTAATCTTAAGCCTTTTAGGTGAAATACGGATCACTGCTCTGGAGTTTACTCTGCTACAGAGTTCAGGATTTGAACATCTCTTCTGCACCTCTGCTAGCATGGTCACCAAGACCCAGTGATCTGCAAGAAATCCATCTAGTGTTTCTTCAAATAATCTGATTATTTGGACTGATCTGACTCAGTTTCAGCTCCAGCAAAGAGCTTTTCTCTTCCTGCCAAGTTTTTAAATTTTAAAATATTGTCTTTACAATCTTTTCAAATCAAACTGAGTTTAAGTACTCCTCCTCCTCCTCCTCCTCCTCCTCCTCCTCCT